CCGAAATCGACAGAGCGAGTGAGGCTGCCAAACTGATCATACAATCACTTCCTATTGAGTCGATCTTGAGGCACGACGGTGCGCAGAGTCGGAAGTATTCATCTTCCAACTTACACTCCAAGTTAAGATAACAGAAAATCAGCGCGATGACTAACGACTCTGTCTTGGTGCAAGATATTCTCAGAAATTGAAATACTCCTGCTGAAACAAAACCGGAGTGCATATCTACGTGAGTTTTACATAGCATTACGGATTGTCAGAGATTTTTGAACAAAACTTTCGGTAATTCCGCAACTGTTTGATCTTTTGGTTATCCTAAGATTAACGCCCGTTTTGTGGAATTTAAGCTCACGATTATAGACTTTGTACTTTGTTATACTTTTTTGTCAAAATCAGAATTCTGCGGTGCGCAGAAATGTAAAAAGTCAGTCTCCAGCGTCATACAGTGTGACCGTTGTGGCTCCTAGTATGACCTGGGCTGTGTCCACCCAGACAAAACAGGGTATGCAATATTCTCGAGTAATTTAGCGCTCCAGTGAATGTGTTACCTGTGCGTATCCATGGCGGAGAACACAACTCGAAAGCGCACTAATAATGCGCCTGAGCCTAGCAGTACCGCCAACCGAGACAAAAACACTCATCTCATTCAGAAACAATCGATCAAACGATTACAGCAGAGGATTGCTAGCCTCGAGAACGAAGTGTTTGAATTAAAACATACAAAGGAACTGACGACGGGCCGAGATAGAAGCGTCCTCAGTACGAACCACGAGGCACCGGTTATAAGAGACGCGAAGGTCCGGGTGGATATTGACGGTGGATGTGTCACAACCACGCGGGAGCGTACTTTGGGAACGCCTGGTAGAGTTCACTGGTAGGTACGCGCCATTGCGACCTAAGAGGAATTCATAAGGCACTGTATGCTGGACAAATACCATAAAGACAGTGTCAACTTTCAGGGGGCGTAAATGGAGTGATTATACAAAATTGGAGGGCAGCACAGGTGGTTTGCCTACAAAATGGCCCGAAATTACACAACCAAGCTTATAAAACCAGCTTAAATGAAACATGAATTGAGGATTGCTAAGCAAGCTGAAACCAATCCCAAAAGGTTTTACGCGTATGTACAATCGTAGGCTGCCCCAAGGCAATTGGTTGGAGTCCTACGAAACCACACAGGGGAAAACGCGTCGTCGGAGGCAGAGAATTTGTTTTGGAAGCGTTTATAAAATGTATGATGGGCGCAGCTATCCCTCATATTTGCCATTAGTACGAGCTCCTTCAATGAGTGATCTATAGAGAAACAGAGCTCAGGTTCTGAGGATACTCAGTGAATTAAAATCTGAAAAATTAGCGGGAAGTGATGCACTTCATCCGGCCATCGACAAGCCGCTTGCAGAGATTTTGGCGGCTCCTGTGTGTGTAATATATGAGAACTCCCTGAGACTCACTGAAATACCGAAAGACTGGAGGACGGTGACAGTTGTGGCGATACACAAGAGAGGTGACTAAAAGGCGTCAGGGAACTACAGACCAGTTAGTCTTACTAGCATCCTCTGTAAAGAACTTCAGACAATAGTTAGAAACGGTATAGGCGAGCATGTTGTGCACTACAACCTACTATTCCCGACTCAACATGGGTTCCTCAAAAAAGGTCATGTCTCAGCAACCTGTTGTGCTTCCCAGATAAAGTCACAGGAAAGTTGGATGCAGGCCAAAAGTCGAAGTTTGTTACTTGGACTTTAGAAAGGCTTTCGACTGGGTTAATAACTGATCACTTCTTAACAAGAACTTTGGCCTTTCTTGCACTCTTATTAAATGAATGGGGGCATTTCTGTACAGGTGGACCTTCAGAGTTCGGGTAGTAGAGATACTTCCGACAGAGGGAAAAGTCAGTAGTGGGGTACCACAGGGCTCCATCCTAGGCCCGATAGTTTTCCTGCTAAACGGCGATGACTTAGTTAGGGGTTTGTTCATCCCGACTTTCGTGTTTGCTGACCATATAAAGTTGGTTAACTCAAGCCCGCGAGACCAACTACAGGAAGACTTAACAAAGGTTATCCGTTGGTCTCAGATGTGGGACCTAGACCTAAACCCGTCAGTGTCACATATTAAACACTGATGGCGGTCCAATTAGAGTGAGGACGGAGGCGGAAACCACCGAACTAACGCGCGTAGCCCAAATGAAGGACTAAGGGATAGTAATCTCTGAAAATTACAAGCCAGGCGAACAGTGCAAAGCTGCAGCAGAAAGGGCGAGTAGTCAACTATTCCAGTTGTGAAATACACCGACCACTCCAAAGGCAGAAGTTATCTAGTACAGCCGTAAAATCTTTGGCTTTGGGCAGTTGACTACCTCTTCAGAGAAATTATTCTGCTCTGGTATTAACCTGTGTAAAAAGAAGTTAGTGGGTTTTGGGAGTGCTGCTAACTGCGTTTCCCGAGTGGAATGCGAGAGGTATAGTGGGTCCCTTAACACCCCTTTTCATCGCATCTGCCACAGTTCCTACAAGTAGCTGCGCGATGTGAGCCGCTCAAACCGATAAAGCACGCGTGATGCCTCTTGGATGCCTCCCAACGGTTTGAAACATCCAGTTGCACAAATTTCTCACATGCGGATAGCTCGTGACTCGAATAAAACATAGGGCATCCGAGTGCGCCACGCTCCTCTACGGTTGCACGGTTGTCTGCGTTTTTAGAGCTTCTTGGGAGTAGTTTCTTTCCTTGGCGTGGTGCTTCTCTTCTCGCCTACTCATGCTGGCGAGTAGTCCGAAGCGACTACTGTCGACCTTAGCACGGCTTCGGATGAATTCCGTCAGCTCGGTGAAATTCGGTTCCCTCCTTAAACGGCCGATAATTATGGCCTCCTTTGCCCATCGCTGTTGTATGTCAGCCAGCAGGAATTGTACTACTGCTTCTAGGGTGTGTGGTGCATTCAACTCAGCTTTGTAATTCATTTGAGTCAGGGCAATGAAGCAGTTGTGCATCTTCATCACCAGTCACATCAACGATTTTGGTTCGTCTCCCACTTTGCGGGTCCCGGCCAGCACCCCATTTATGAGCGTCCCTGCCACGTGAAACGGTTGAGCGAATAGTTCTTCAATGGTGTTCCTCGCTCTCCTATACCGAGTTCGTTTGGTAGCATTACACATTCTTCAATAGCGTCCTGGGCCTTCCTGCGGCAATAATGCATAATGTACGGGAACCTCCTCCCTGGATCGGCGACTCAACACTCAAAGAAATTATCAAATTTTCTAATGAGTCTCCAGTAGTTGCTGTGGTTCCCGTTGAATGGCGTTAGCTCTAACTTGGGTAAGTATATCAACGGGCGGCGGTACATTACTTCGATCNGTGGTTGAGCCACTTCTGGCTTGAGTTTAATGGGCAGGGAGTTTTTCAGTCGCGGTGTGCTCAGTCGAGGAAGGTTGCCTTGCCTCTTCTTCCCCTTGCTTCATGGACCTAATCTCCTGCTCCAACTCCACAATCTTACGGAGGTATACATCAGAAATCCTAACACTGGAATAAGAACTGAACTTCTAGCAATAACCGGACGAACTAGATTATAAATGTGCGAATTACAACCACCCTACCGAAATTCCCAGTGACTTGCCGGGTTACTTCCTGTCCTTCCTCCTCGATGCTTGCGTGTCTAAACGACAATCTCTTGTTTTAAGTTGCACGAAGTTGAGTACTGTGCTTCCCGAATAGATCAATGAGTAACGGGTAGCCCAAATCGAATCCCAAAATGTCAATAAAACGAACGATTCAACAAGCTTCCACGGTGTTGCATTATTAGACGGCTATATAAGCAATTAAGATCTGTACAAACCTCAAAGTGACCTCGGAAAACCCTTGTAAACTAGAGCCAAGTGTTAATGTGAGTGTAATTCAACAAATATGAACAGAAGAAAATGAGTGTGGGTAAGAATAGTACATTCACCGTCACACTGCACTCGACAAATTCCAATGTGAGTGGTCAGATCGTGATCTTGGTTCATTTGTTAGGCCTGTTGTAGCGTTAGACCGTTCATCATCTACGTGTTGCGTCAGGTGGCCAACAAACAACACTTGGTGAGATTTTGAGGCAGATGTCACAGAACAGCCCATCGATGAACTGTCTCTAAATCCCACTGCAAGTCGGCGCCCGTCGTTTTGACGCCATCGGCAAAAATGAAGCGGAGTTTGGAGATCCAGTGCCACGTCGTTTATGAACACCAGGATTAGTAGGGGTCCTGACACAGAGCCTTGTGGGACTCCACTCGGGTGCACTTCAATTTCCAACTCATGGTCTCCCATCTTTACTCTAAAGGTGTGGTTGCTCAAAAACGACATAAGCCAATTTCTTATGTTGCCTACTATACCCAGGCCTTGTATTTTGATATCTAACAGCCGATGGCTGACGGAGTCGAATGCCTTCGAGAAGTCCAAATAGAACACTTCTACGTTCCTGCCCCGGTCCAACCGCCGCGTAATCTCATCCAAAAATATCAGCAGATTGGTAAGACATGATCAACGCTCAACGAAACCATACTGTTTCGGTGTCAAAAGTCGACTTTGTACTAGGTGCAGGCATACTTTCTCCCCAACCAGTCGTTCTAAGCACTTGCACAGCACCGACGTTAGGCTAACGGGTCTGTAGTTTTCGGCCTTCTTCCTGGACCAAGATTTGCGTAGGACCACTACCAGCACCCAGCACTTATTGGTGGCTGCTGGGGACAGTGTTCTGTGTACAGTAAGTGAGGCCTGCATCGCTACATGATCTTTTTGGCCCACTGGTTCCTCAGTCGTCAATTCATTAATGCTCCTACTGTACTTTGTGATCAGCAGATATAGTAGTGAGGGCGATGAACTCCTTCGGTGTCTTGTAGGCGTCGTGATATGTTGAACCAGCCCACGTAATGGCAGCCATTGTGGGAAGGTCTCACCTGTGAATCCTCTGGGCGCGCTTCCAGCCTCCCAGTTAGCTGGAAAGTTGCGAGGTCAACAATTTCTTCAACGTGATGACCTGCAAGGACAGAGTTGGCATTCACACTACAGCCGCAGCAGATGAGATAAGTGGCGCAACCCAGCGGTCTGTACTTGGCCCAGTGCTATTCCTCATGTTTATCAACGACCTGCCCCCGAGTTTGCGGAACTCGTGCTACCTATTTGCTGACGATGTAAAGGTGGCCGGCGCAGACCTGGATGAAGATATTGAGGCTATGCTACCCTGGTCACAAAAGTGGAGCCTGCCAAATGTCAACGGTTAGGGACCAGAAGAACAGGTATCTCTAAGCAGATAGGGCATCTGATGGAGGTAACGCATGCTAAATACCCAGATGTGGTGGTCCCTAGAGTCTGCCAGCCCTCCAGGCAGTGCATAGCGGCAACAAATAAGGTTAGAGGGAATTCTTTAGTACAGGGAATACGATGTTCTGCAGAGACCGACAGGTTCTGGTCCCTCAGTATAAGGCTATCGTACGGCCACATCTGTAGTATTGTGTCCATTCATAGGCACCATACTTACAGAACGACCTGGATTGCCTGGAAAGAGTTCAACGGTTAGCCACCCGTGTGGTATTTGGTTAGAACCACAAGGAATACGAGGACCGACTGAAGTACTTAAACTTGTTTTTCCTTTGATGCAGACGTACGAGGGGGGATTCGAATAAAGCGTCCGAAATAATGAACAGTTTGTAAAATATCAACAGTGAGGAATTATTCTCTGCGACCCTGGACGGTGGCATCAGGGGCATAGCTTCCGACTCAGGCATAATCACAGTATGCTGCAAATCCAAGCAAGGTTTTTCACCAACAGGGTGATCCCACTATGGAATAGGCTACCAGAACACGTGGTTAGATATAGCATCGTAGCGGCATTCATGGCGGACTTAAAAGAGTATTGGAGAACGTTAGGTCAGAGTTAGTATATGCGATGTGTCTACGCTAACGGTTACGTAATAGGACGATGATTCTTCAACTAATGATATAGCCTATTGCTTTCTATAAAGTATGGCCTATTTCTACGAATAAGCATTGGCACTTGCTGCTACCAGTTCTAAGTGTATTTCTTCGGAGTCGGCGGATCGGGTTAAAGCCAATCCAGTTATGAGTATAACAGTATGGGTTCTGGTATTGCTATATTTGATACAATTACGATTACTACAATTTAGCGTCAAGCAATCGAGATTGCTGCCATTGAACAATTGAACCGCCCCGGAAACCCATCGGAAATGGAAGAGTGGGTGGAGCGTTTCAAACTATGTTGCAGCATCCGGGAAGGAGGAATACAAAACCAATCTTTCCTATTTTCGACGTTTGGCGGCCGAAAGCAGTAGTCTCTACTGTAAAGTTTACCACACCCGGATGTTGCCATTTGAGAAGTTAAAAGTCCTATTGCTGGATCACATTCTCTCAGTGGATTTTCAACTCAATTATCAAAGCTGCCAGCATGCCGTGCCATTAATTCATCCTACATTTGAGTAACCAGGCATCAAAATGTAACTATGATGAGCGATTGGAAGAAACACTTTGTGATCGCCGGATTGCTGGAATCCACAACGTCTCGGCACAGCACAAGACGTTGGAAAAGAAAAGCGTCACGTTTGCTGAGTTTCTTAAAATCTGTAGGCGATCTGTGACGTATGATTTGTGTGCAGCCACAAATGCGAACAATCCTGTGTTATTTATAATAATAATAATGTATATTTCACGAAACCCGTGAAGCATGCACAAGGCATAATCATATGTTCAAAATAATCATATGTACAACGACAGTGCAGGTAAATAGATAAACTACTTGGAAGACGTACATACTGGAGATTGTAGGGGCGCAGAACGGAAACGCTGTGTAAACGGAACACAAAGCGGATGAGGTCACAAACGTTGGTATGGAGGATGGAAGAATGTGCAGTACAAGCATATCAATCGAAATTGAAGTAACTGTTACCCCGTTATCGTGGGGAAACGGAATGCGGCTCTAATGGGAGAAGATACGGAGAGACAAAATGTCGGATAATAGACGGGGAAAATGGAGTCACAAGGATATGAATGAATAGAAAGGAGTACAGCGAGTTCATACATTTGCCGGGATGCGAACGCGTGCAGACAAGACCGTCGAAATAGCCATGTCCAGCATCCACTGCCAGGGCCAAAATTTGCCAGTGTGGGTTTAAACCTCAAGTCTTTGACAGGTCCAAGCCAACCGTATCTGGAACAAAAGAGTCATATTTCATTGCCAATAAAACAAACCATTACGTGTTACACATAGGGTTCATAATACACTCCCGATTTCCATTTCGCCTTTTCGTCGAGCTTGAAAATTTGTTTGTTAACCTTTTATCATCATTCAAATTATCATTATCAGCGCTTGTGGCAACTTAAAAAGCACTGATAACGTCACCTCGGATGGTGATGAAACGTTTGCAAGCGAATCGCCAAACTCAGCGAACGGGCGAAATGGAATTCAGTTCACCCGGGCTACCAGAACTCACTTTAAATATTTCGCCAAGACTCTCGATTTCTCAAGTAATCATTCCAAGCCGAACAAAAATTGAGAGAATCACAAGTACCAAATCCTAGTTCAGTTCAGTTCAGTTTGCACAGGACAGTAGTGGCCGAGACCAATCGTACGTCCAGATCGTTGTGTCGTCAGCTAGTCTCCTTGGCTTCCAACACTGCTTGTCAAACGTTCGTCCTGCTTTTTTCTGAAAGGCAGAATATTTAGTTGCAGTATCTTATCCACCAGATATGTAAAAATGAGAAACATTATTACAGGAACGACTCACATGTTTCCTTTGTCGTCCCTCAAGCGGTCAGCTCCGGCAAAACCACATTCCAGCACAGATCCAAGACCTTTTGGAAGGCCACAACTGTTGAGCTGCTTACAACATTTTCCGGCAATCTATTCCACTAAGACATCACCCGGTTTGTGAAGATCCTGGCCTTCAACTCCAACCTGGAGTGCTCTCTTTGTAGCTTAAGGCTATGACCTCTAGTGTTGCACTCTGGTGCAGGAAGGAAGAGGCTCCTCAGTTCTATGCCAGACAACCCCTTAACTATCCTGAAGGCTTCTATCTAGTCGCCCCTGGTCCTTCGGCGTGACAGCGAGAAATAATTCAGGTCCTTTAGACGCTGCAAGTAGCTCTTCCCTATCTTTCCAGTGACCATTCTGGTTGCCAGTCGTTGTATCCTCTCTACACACTCCATATCTTTGCGATGGTATGGGGTCCAAGCTTGCACGCAGTATTCCAGCAGTGGACGCACCATTGCCTTATTCCA